GGACGCGAACCGCGGTTGACTACGTGGGAGTCCAGCGACATAGCCATTACACTAACTGCTGGTTCCCTAAAAATTTTTTTAAATTAAAATTTCTTTTTGCTATAGGCCATGTGCACTCAGTGGAGACAGACGCAGAGAGAAGGAAAGTGAGGAATCACCCCCAGGGGAGATGACCACACTATAATCCCTTCTCTTTCATTCTTCTCTCAAGATTTTGGGCACACACATGCACATGCCCAGTATAACTTTCAAACGACCAGGTCTCAGACCCAAACCGTGAAGTCGACTATGTGGGATCCAGCCCATGGAACCACCATGTCACCTGTTGGCCCAGGCTCACCAGGTTTTAATACATGAAATTTTGGCGGCCACATTTGAACCATAGCAGGGTGTGTTAGAATATCTCAGTACGTAACAGTACCTTTCCCATTTTAGCCATCTGTAAGCATACAGGTCAGTGGCATTAAGTGTAACACGGTCACGTTGCTGTGCAGCGGTCACCACTACCCATCTCCAGAATTTTGTGTCTTTCACAATTAAAACACTATCCATTAAACAAAGACTTCCATTTCTCCCCTTGCAGCCTCTGACAACCACCGTTCTGCTTTCTGTTTCTGTGAATTCGACTGCTGTAGGTACTTCATAAAAGTAGAATTTTATAATACATGTCCTTTTATGTCCGTTTTTTCCACTTAATATATCATCCTCAAGATTCATCCGTGTTGCAGCATGAGTCAGAATTCCCTTCCTTTTTAAGGCTGAGTGATTCTCCCCTCTATAGGCGTGCCACATTTTGCTTATCCATTCTTCCATTGGTGGATACATATTCCTATCTCTTTGCTATTGTGTGTAGTGCTACAATGAACATGGGCATATACATTGTCCATTTTTAAAAAAAAAAATTTTATTTATCATCATTATTATTTTACATTTTTCTACAGACAGAGAAAGGGAGAAAGCAAGCCGCAAGGTCTGGGACTTGAACTGTGGTCAGCCATGTGGAAGTCCAGTGCCTTTAACCGCCACACCACCTTCTGGCCCACATTGTCCGTGCTCACCAGACAGACAGAGAGAGACAGAGAGACAGAAAGCGAGAAATCACCCCCCAGGGGAGATGGCCACGCTGCAATCCCTTCTCCATTCTCCTCTCAGGATCTTGGGCACGCATGCACACACGCCCGGCGTGAGTTCTAAGCCACTGGGTCCAGGATGCGAACCACGGTCGACTACGTGGGAATCCAGCAACATGGCCATTACGCTAACTGCTGGTTCCCACATTGTCCTTTTATTTAAAAAAAAAATAAAAAAGTTTATTTCCATAAGAGAGAGAGTGGAGGAGAAAGACAGGCACCAGAGTACAGTCTCGATGCCATGAGCCACCTCCAGCCTCGGCCAGTCCAGGTCACGAGCACATGCATGTGCCCGATGTGTACAAGGAGTCCTCAGGACTTGAACCCAGGACCTTCCTGTGTGAGTTCATCTGCACCACTGCCATACCACTACCATCTCCTGTTATCCTTTTTCATTATTTTAGTTTTTTTCCACAAGGTGTGTGTACTTACCAGAGAGAGACAGAGAGGAAAAGTAAAAAAATCAACCCCCCCCCCGGAAGGATGACCCACTCACAGTTTCTT